CTCTTCAGTTTGGCATTTAAAGCTCTTTACAACCTGGCCCCTTCCTACCTTTCTAGTCTTTCAGTACTTTGCTCTCTTCCAAGCACTCTGCAATCCAAGAATGCTGGTCCACTTGCAATTCCTCAAACAAGATTCATACTTCATCTCCCTACTCCATGCCTTTGCACTGGCTGTCTTCCATGCCTGTAGTGCTCTGCTCTCTCCACTGTTCCCTCTTACTTTCCCTGGCTTCCTTCAAGACAGATCAAATCTCACCTTTGGCAAGATGCTTCTTTCAGTCCCTCCTCCCAGCTGTGAGTGCTTTCCCTTTGAGATTACCTTTCAGCTACTCAAATAAATATCTTGAATGTATATATTTCCATGTCATTTCCTCCACTAGACTGTAAGCTCCTTGAGGGCAAGGGCTATCTTTTGCCTCTTTTTGTATCCCCAGGGCTTAGCACAGTGCCTGGCACATAATTGATGGTTTATACACTCACTCCCTCATTAGAGTGTAACCTCCCTGAAGGCAAAGTGTGTTTTTACCTCTCCTATTCCCAGTGCTTGACACATAGCAAGCACTTAATAAAAGTGTGCTGACTGACTGACTATACTAAATTACACCCTGGCTAGAAAAGGTTTCCAATAGAGAGCCTGATGACATATTGCATGTCTATCAGTCCTCTGGGGATCTACATCTGTGGCTAATTACCACCAGCCAGCAATGGATTCTTCTGGAGAGTTACTCACTCACTACCCATGGCAAGGTCACGAGCTTCAGCAATCAGTGGCCACACCCAAGGAAAAGGAGGCTCAGTCAGAGTATCTAATTCTAGATGTAGTTATCTCTGTTTTGAAAAAGAAAGAGAACGGAGTCTCTGGGCTCTAGGACAGTGAGCTTGATTTTGAATATTGGCAAAAATTGGATAATCTAATTTTAAAGATTGCTTAGGGAACGTGTAGAAAAGGCAGCAGGCCCTGCTCATCAAGAGCACTGTACTACACTAACCCCATCTCCTTTTTTAACATCTAGACTTGGTAAAAATGCTAGATTTGGAGTCAGAGGACCTGGGTTCAAATGCTGGTTCTGACATTTACCTGTGTGACCTTGGGCCAGTCTGTACACTTGTCTAGGCCTCAGTTTCTTCCTCTGTCAAATTAGGGAGTTGGACTAGATGGACTTTGAGGTGCCTTCCAGCTCTAATGATGAGGACTTGTACCTAGATTTTAGCAAAGCATTCCACAAAACAACAAGATGAAAAGTGGGTTAGGCAATACTTTTGTTAAGTTGATTAGGAGCTGACGGGATGATTAGCCCTGAGAGCCATTGATAGCTTGAGGTGTATTTGAAAGGAGGTTTCTAGTGGAGTGCCCCAGGGATCTGGGCTGGGTCTGTTCAAATGATATAATAGGGTTCAGTGACTTGGCTTCAAAATGACTAGCTCATGAGTGTGAGATGGGAGATGTGTAGGTAGGCAAAAAAGCTCTGGGGATTTTAGCAGACTGCCTATGCTGTATGAGTCGATACAGTGGCACAGTAGCTGTTTTAAGAGAGGTGTAATGATAGTTCCACCATCCCTTGCCCTGGGCAGACCATGTCTGGAATGCCATATTCAATTTGGGGCAGGGGAGGGGGGTAGGTGCTACATTTTGGGAAGGATTTCAACAAGCTGCAATCATCTGGTCAGTTTGTTCTGAATAATAATGATAATAACAACTAGCATTTACATAGCACTTTCAAGTTTGCAAAGTGTTTTACAAATATTATCCCATTTTTCCCCTCACAACAACATGTGTGGTAGAGGATATTATTTTCCCCATTTTATAGTTGAGAAAACTGAGGCAGCTAGAGGTTAAATGACTTGCCCAGGGTCACATAGCCAGTAAGTGTCAAAGGCTGGATTTGAACTCAGGTTTGCCCAACTCCAAGTCCAACATTCTAGCCGCTATTTCCCTTTAGTAGTCAGACTTTATGTTTTTCCATCTCCTGGTGACCAACCCTCTGGAGTCTCTCTACACTTAGCTGGACAGGGCCTCAGCTGACAGATACACAGTTCATCCCTGGATCATTGCCAAAGCCTGGCCAGCTTAGTGGGAAGGTGCTGCCAGAGCTGGAGTCCCACTAGCATGGCCTTCATATCTGGGGCTCCCCTCCATGCCAACATGAAGTGCTGGGATAGGGGTGGGCTGGCTTTAGGGAGAATTCCTTTCATAGTAGTGACACAAAGTTTATTGAAAGCATTGGGCACTTTAAAAATTCAAAATGGTGATCTTCAGCTCCATTTAAAGTGTGTGTGTGTGTGTGTGTGTGTGTGTGTGTGTGTGCACATGTGTGCGCACCCATGCATACATACACTGGAGCTTGCTTCATTCATTCATTTTTTTTTTAATTTTTATTTTTTGCTTTTTGGTCTGAACCCATGCTTTCATTGGTGGGGGAACATGTAATAAAGAAAGTCCCTCTACAGATGCATGCAGGCAACTCCTTCATAACAGTCTTAGAGACTAGAACCCAGAGATGTCTACTTGCTCAGTCACCTACCTGAATCCAGTCTTCTCACCTCTAAAGCCATGCTTTCCCTCTCTCTCTTTCTCTATTAGCAATCTCACAAAACTCCTTCAAAGTATTTGATCTTGTCTTGTCTTGTGGGTCTGGGTGTTACTGACAAAAAACATTACATCCCTGGAAATGGTCATAGCGCAGCTGATGGCCACAAAAAAAAAAACACTTTGCCCTGTGTCTGGAATGGACTTCCTCCTCTCCTCTGCCTCACAGAATCCTTCTCTTCCTTCAAGACTCAGGCACCGCCTTCTTCAGGAACCCTTTTCCTGACCTCGTCTGCTGTGGCTTCCCCCCAAATTACCTTGTATTTATTTGGTGTGTATATATATGTACATACATACATATGTAGTCATATGTAACTATACATATCTCTAACTCTATATACAACTTGCTATATAACTCTACACACACACACATTTGTATCCCAAGCACTTGACACATAGTAGGTGCTTTAACAAATGCTTGCCTGAATCTGGTCCAAATACCTGGATCTCTTTAACAAGGCAGTGATATAAGTGGAAAGGAGCCCTAGATCTGGAATCAGAGAACTTGGTTCAAATCCTCTCCCTCCACCCCTTCTCCCATTCCCACCAACCATCAGTGCCCATGTCATGTCACTGTAGGCATCACTTCATCTCCCTGGGTTCTCTGTAAAATGAGGTTGTTGGACAAGATGCCTTTGGAGGTATTTTCCAGCTTTAGGTCTATGGTCTCATGACTTCCCTCAGTGACCTTCCCTGGACTCAGGCAGAAAGGTGGCCTGGGCCCTCTGTTGTAAGGCCCACTTGCCAAATCCCAGGAGGGAACAAAATCAAAGAAACCAGGAGAAGGGGAGCAATTTTTATATAATTGAAAAAACAAAAGTGACCCTAGAGAACTGATGGCAAAATGTGTCTGCTTTGAAGAGCCAGTGCTCCTGGGACAGAATATCATACATATTGCCTGACAAGGGCATGTTATAGGGCATTTTTGCTTAATCGTTTTTCTTTGAGACCAAGGAAGAATTGAATTCCATGGAGGTTAGGAGAGGTCTTTCCAGAAATGACTGATTTAAAAACAAAAGGTGTCAATGAGTATATTCTCTACAAAAACTGACAAATATCTAAAGTTAAAAAACAAAACCCACCAAAGATGCCAGCATGGCCTAGGGGGTTGGTCACTTTGCCTATTATCACAGGCACTGAGTATTTCTGCCTGATGCTACCAGAGCCATCCTTTCCAACAACTATATTGGACTCAAACCTTTTCCTTTCGAAGCAAAGGAATCATTTAGTTTCTGAAATCTGTTTCAGGCTTTTATTTCGAATGAATCAGGAAACGATACAGGCTTTATTCAAGAAATGAACTCATTATTCAAGGCCCAGAATCCTTTCACAGGGCAATGAAATAGTCAATGTGAACACAGTTGCAACAATGCTCAGTAGCTATGGCAAACCACACCACAGTTTACAAGTTTCTATTGGACTAGACAAATACACTACTAAAATTTTAATTGTGCCAACATTTTTATATATGCAAAGAGCAAGAAATATGCTTGTTATCTCAGCCATGCTTAAAAACAGTCCCTTTTGTACCTGCCTGGGTACGGAATTTCATCTCTCCTGAAATTAAAATCAAAGTATTTGCAGCTCATTTCATCGGGCCAAGCTGGCCCCCAAATCAATCCGTCAATTGCTTTGAGTCCAATTTCTTAAACAGCTCCACTGTGTGCATAAGCAAACACTCCCTGATGTACAAATACATATCAGACATTTGCTGGTTCACGAGTTTCATCTTCTTGTTTTTGCCTGCTTAATCAGCCCTCTTCCCAAAGGTGCAAAAATAAAGGATGGCAGAAAATTTAAAAGGAAGGTAGCATTTGTTCCTTCTCACTAAGAAGAAATGGCTTTGCAAGGCTGTTATTTGTTTTTCTTAAACAACAGCCTTTTCTAAGAGAAACTCCTAGGACATTTGCACAAGTCCTCTGAGGGAAAATTAAGTAAGTATGAATATCAAAAACCAATCACCCTATCACCACTTGGGCAAATGGGAACTAAGGTGAAACCCCAATGGTCCTTCAACAATCCTTTCCAAGAGGGAAATATTGTGTCCCACATTCAGAAGGGAACAGTGTGAAAACAGTTGGTCAGATGGGCCCCTCAGACTCTACTCCAAAGGAAAGTCCAACATCTCCAGTCTACTCTTTTCCCTCTCCCAGAGTTTGGAAGGGCTCATCTATCCTGGTTCCCTTTTTGCTCCAGGGGCTGGTATAAAGTAAAACCTTCCATGGGGTGACATTGGAACAGCGAGCTTCCCTCCTCCCCCTCCATAAGTTGGGATATAGATTTGCCCAATTAAAAAGTGATGAGTTCATGAAATAGGTGTCAGTGGCCCCCCTCCCCCAAAGGTAAGAACCAGCTCAATGGGAATTGACATTTGATGGAATTCTAACAATTCAGAAACCGAATTCGACTACATGACAGCATAAAAAAGTGGTAGATCTTTATTGAATATCCTTTTGAAACACGTATAATAGTATGGGGAAGCGATACAGCACCTCAAAACACACAATGACAAAATCTTTGACTACATGAAGAAGCAAACATCAGAGAAATGAACACGTCACAGAATTCCTGCATGGCAGGAAGGTCACTAGCACTATGGTACCAATGGCTACATCAAAAGCTAAAACTGCCATAACTAAGTGCAAACCTCTACTACATACACAAAAAGAGCAGGGGGCAAGAATACAGCTTGCTTGGAACAAACTTGCAATGGGACACTAGAACAGCAAAGAGGTCAGTTCTAGCCAGGGGGAAAACAATTTAAGGTAATGTTACTCAGATACAAGAAAACAAAAGAAAACAAAAAAAAACCGTAGAGTAGAATTGTTTTTCCTGAAACATAAGTAGTCAGCGTTTGCATTTGAAAAAAAGGAAAAAAAAAGTTCTCAGTATTCATTGCATCTCAAATAATTTCCATCATAATAAACTGAATTGTAAATTGTAAATTTTGTTCTATGCTCTTCCTAGGAAAAAACAAAAACTTTCAAATACATATGGCAGCTCAAGTATCTCATATTAAAAAGGAATAGAGAAATAAAGACAACTAGACACAAAGCATGCTAAGGAGTTCTCAAAGTGCAACATTGTTAACTACTGAAAAGGCAACATTCTTCTCCCTTTCAGTTTGCAATCAGTTTTGGAAACGTGACTTGGAGATGAAGCCAAGTTCCAGTTTACCCAACAGCAGTTGGGTCCCATTTCCACTGGATGCTGGGAGTGGGCACAAGTGCGATAATAGATCTATAAATTAATTTTCATTCTCAACTACAGTATTACACAAATGACACTTGGATATGGTCAACTTGAGGGTGCTACGTCTACTGCTTACAGGGAGAAAAGCGGCTTAAATAATGCCTGAAAGAGAAAGGGCCCAACCACAAAGCTTGCTTTATGCATCACATACATGACCAAAACTTAAGCAGCAATTTAGCATCTAAAGGTAATTTATATCTGAGGCAGAATATTTATATATTTCAGGAGAGGCCTCTGAAATCCCCATTTTATTATGACCACCCTCCCACCCCTAATCCCCTCAAAGAATGTGCTTGCTACATAGATCTTTCAATACGGATAAAGAGCTGGGTTCAATACCCTCCACGGTCCTTACTGGCCAGGAGGAATTTTTAAAAATTATTTCAAAGTCATTTCCCCCCATCCTTTACAAAGGGCACTGGACTGTGCTCATCAGTCTGGCTCTTCCTGGCCTAGAGAAACATGTGACCTCTCCCCCCAGGTGAACATAGTCAAGAGCTGAAGCCAGCCAGCACAGTTCTGCAATCGTGCTCTAGACCAGAATAGGCTATTTGTAATGGCACAGAAAGGCAGGGCCCATGGGGTGTCACTGAAATCCTATTATCTGAAATAGACCCTGCCCCCAAACTCTTCTGGGAAAAAAAGACACCACCCCCTCCCCCATCTCCAACTAAACCTATACTCCACAAATCTGGCATTTTGGTTAAGTGTCAAGTAACTAGAAGAATGAGTAACTCGGCCTCTTTTTGTACTGAGTTAAGAAAGGTAGCAGGACCCACACTATCACTATGCAGGGGGGCTGGAAACAATGCCACTCCACAAAGTGCAGGCAATAGGGGATTTTTTTAAAGTTAAAGAACCGCTTGTTCACAATCTGTCCTGTACAGAATACATATATTCTTGCTATGCCATATAAACAGGATTTATACAGCTTAAACGGTCAGATACATGCATTGGACTTGGTAGGTAGTACACATTTCTTCACAATTGCGTATGCAGATTTTACAGTCAGGTTAGTGAGCAACAGACATATTAAGCTGGTCCATGCCTCGAATTATCTAACATATTTAATGGGGGCTCAGAATCATCCATTGGAAGAACCAGGCGGGTTCCCCGAATTACAAGTTCATGGTCCCCAAATGCAAGTTCTCGATCCAGGACATCTTCAGAGGTATTTCCCATAAGCCTCCTGGGAGCACTGGCTGACATGGAGTCAGTGCTAACAGTAGAATCACCATACGTCAAGCTAATGTCGCCATCATTCAAGATAAGATCAGAATCATCATCTTTCAGCTGTTCCTGATTCTAAACAAAAAGATAAAACAAATGTTGCTTTCAAGACAATTTTCTTATCAGAAGACCAAACTGCAAGAGTCACAGGTGAGCTAGGTCCATGAAAAATATGATTTACTTTCACATAAGCAACACCTAGAAATAAGTTATCCCTGATATATTTAATTGTGAAGATACGATAAAGAACAGCAGGCAGCCTCAGCACCAGACCATCGATCTCCCAGGTCAACAAATGAAGGTTCTAATGATAACTGTCTTTAACTGTAAATTGCTTTGCAATGAACAAGTCCCTTACAGCCGAGAGAAAATGGTAAAAAAAAAAAAAAATATCATGGGGCTAAGAATCAGTTTGCCACCCTGTACCTTCCCCCCACAGTTCCTGGTTCTGCCTTCTGGGGCCAAGCAGAACAAATGATTTTTCTGTGTCCTAGTTGCCAGGCATCTTGCCATCCAGGCCACCATCCTCTGGATACAACATCCCTCTAAAATGTGGTAACCAGAACTGAACACAATCCTGTAGAAGCATACAATGCCTCAGGGGAGAAGGACACTTTGCAAACCCAGGTGTGAGTTATTACCATCAATATCTGACCACATCCATCTTGGCTGAGATGATACCCTCCGTTTCTTCAACAGTTGGGAATTTCTTGTCCCGAAACAGCTGAGATAAATATGCTATTCCATGGATTCTTTTTAGAGGGTAGGTCTGGGATTAGAAGGTTGGGTTTCAGTGAAAAATAAAACTATTTAAAAATCAGACTTCTTTCCTAAGTCTGGTCCATGCATCAGTTACCTAAGCTCTAATGCTTAGAATCGAATGCAAGGACACACAAACCCCAAACTGGAGGCTAAAGAAACAAAGAGGGGGTTCTAGATGATGCCTTGACATGCTCATGGCTCCGACAAGAGGAAAGAGAAGTTGTATCCAAGATCCACAAGAGTAAAAGTGCACACCACCACACACCATCTGTTACTCACAGGAGCTTCACAAACAGGAACTAAGATCCTCTGGCCACTTCGTGGATAAGGATGTAAAAAAGACCTAGCCCGGGACACATACTGCAAATCTGGACATCAACCCAGGTGCCACTAGAAGACTTCGGGTGTTCCAAAGACAGTACTTGGTACTGTTTTATTCCTACTGCCCGTTAGACTTTCAGTTGCAATCACACACAAAGGTTTCTGGCATGCTCAAATGGCCCATTGACTAAGTAAAAGGTGCTCACTTCCTTAAAGTCCATGCATGCTTTGGTGGCTTACAGAAAAAAAAAAAGTCCAGGGACCAGACACAGACAAGATGAAGTTAGGTCAAGCAGAGCTATCAAATGAGAACTACTTACTTCATAAGCTTGAGGACTCGTCAGACATCTTGCAAGGGGTCCGCAGAAACTAGGGAGTGTGGAAGTAAGAGGTGGTCCACTGTGGGTCAGGAGCGGCTTCAGATAGCTTGTACTTGTTAAGAGAGAAAGAACTTCAAATGTTCTTATTAATCATTCCAAAATGCCCAGCTTATTTAATGGAAGAAAAAGATAACCAGAAAGAGAGCCTGAATCATTTTAAAGTTACTCTTTAACTAACTAAGGAAGAGAAAGGGAAAGGTTCTGCTAATCAATTCATCATCTGGAGAAAGACAGTAGCTTTGATCATGTGACCTGTGAATCTGATTAGCAAGTGGTGAAAGCAAGCTCTCAATCAAAACCTCTGATGGAAACCTTATAATTATTGCTCAAAAAGTTGTCAAAGGGGAACTAAGCCAATCCCAAAGACCTCTCTAAATTGTTATTTTTTTAAAATTACACACTAGTTTAGCTTCAATATTCATTTGTTCCCTTCAAAAAGAGTATCAAATTATCATGAGACAATGAGCAGCCCAGAGGAGGAAATGACAGCACAAAGTAGGAAGAAATTGCATTCACTCAACTCCACCCCCTCCAAACCACTTTTCGAGGACCTAGCATTCAGAAATAACTAGATCATTATACAAGTCTTTATCATGACTATTTAACCCCAAGAAACAGACTAATACCTATTAGTATTTGCATGAAAATGCAATAGGTTGGGACAACAATCGACCTTTGAAATTCCCCTCGTGAATACAGTACCATTCCCCCCTCCCAAGGCAAACCACTGCTCCGAGCAATAAAGTCAGGTTTTTCAAAAAAATATAAATTCCCTGGGGCAGGCAGAGTCAGTCTCATCTGCCTTGTATCCCTAATGCCCACACAAGGCATGCTTGTTGAATTATCTGTTGTGAATGAAGATTTCATGACTGCTAGGTTTATAAACCTGAGGTAGAGACTGCCAAATTCTGGTAAAATTTACCCACTTATTCAAATATCCCCACATTCCAACAGATCTTTGTTCTCATCAGCTTGGCCATCCCCACCAGTGACAAAGATCACATGCCATCCACTGTGCCTATCTTGTGGGCCTCTTGTCCAGGTCTTCTCCTAAATTTGCCACAAGGAGGAAGGATAAGGGAGGTGCTACTAAATTTGTTTGGCGGCCATCCAATTTAAGGAGAGAAAAAAAAACAGAAGGCCAAACAAGCCAATCTGCAATTCTCACTAGTCTCACTGGTGCTACTGAGGTGACTTAAGTCTTGGTGCCCAATAGAAGTATATAGAAAGCTATGTTGTCCTTCTTTTAAACAGCATGTCTTTACATGAGGATGATTCTGTTATTTCATATCATACATTACCTAGAGTGTACACTTTGGTTAAAAAACAAGATTTACACAGAAGGCACTCAAATATTTGTTCAATGAAGTAAAATGGATGAAAAACATTAAAGATCCAAAAGAGGCCTATGTCCCAAATGCTGGTAAAATTGCTGCTTCTGATTTAATTAACATTAAGCAATTTTGCAAAGCCAGGGCTCACTCCCTAATGGAAGCCTTAATGCACCACAACAACTTATGTGTTCTTGCTTCTTGTAGCGATTTGTTTTAGAAGCAAGAGTCCATTATGTTACAACATACTGCAGGCTCTTGGCCAAATGGACAAGGGGAAAAGATGAGTGCTTGCTCTCTTTTCAAAGCTTTCCTTGTTTAATTCAGGGGTTCTTAACCTGGGGCCCCTCTGGAGGGAATTAAATGGGATCCATGAACTTGGATGGGGAAAAAAAATGACATCTTTATTTTTACTAACTTTGTTTCTCGTATCTTATGCATTTGCAAACCTGATTCTGAGAAATGGTCCATTGGCTTCACCAGAATGCCCACCGGGGTCCAAGGATCAAAAAGGGAGAAGAACTTTGGTTCTAATCTAAGGATGCTGGATTTCAAGCCAGAGGAAATTTAGTTCAAATCCCAGTGTTATTATGTGCTAACTGGAAGACCTTGGAAAGTCACCTCACCTTTCTGGGCCTCAGTTTCCTCACCTGTAAGATGAAGGGTCTGGACTACATGGCTTCTCATGCACAGAAAGGATGGGAGACATCTTATGTGTTTACGTATTTCCTAGGTGTTTCTGAATGCTAGATAACACCAAGTTTTGATAAACAAGGCTTGAGAAACCCAATTATGAAAATGAATTTTATGATTCTTTCCTCTGTTCAATTGTCAGCTTAATCTGCAGGAAATTAATTTTAATCAATATTAATAAGGGACTCACTCAAGAAACATATGGTTTAAGCAGCCCATGAAAAAGCAACACTATCAAAAGTGTGTCTAGGAAGGACTGTGGTCTGTGTTGGGGGGGCATGGGTTAAAAACCTAGGAAATAATTGAAATGGTCACTGTGGTGGCCATAACAACTGTAAAATAAGGCTTATGTGGCCCACAGAGTTAGAGCTAGAAGGGTCCTTAGAAATTATGGCATTCAACCCACTCATTTTACAGAAGAGAGAACAGAGGCACAGGGAGGGAAAAGGACTGACCCAGCTTAACAAAACTAATAATGGACAAGGGGCAAAATTCGACCCCTGGTCCTTGAACCCCAAATCCAGTGCTTTGTTACATTTCACTGTTATTCCAGCAGCTCTTCCTTTGGGAAAAGATCAGGAAAGGCACTTGCACTGATAAACCAAATTCTTCGAGCTTTTTTCATCATCCTCCATTTTTGAGTCATGACCAATAAAAAGCCTCCCAAATGATATCCACAATGAAAAAAGTTTATGAAAACTGCATACTGCCCAATTACAGACTATGTGTGACTTTTTACACACACACACACACACACACACACACACACCTTGGACAGGTAGATGGATCACTACACTCAGGGAACTGAACAATGCTTTCAATGATCCCAAACTGTTCAATGTTACAAAATCCCATCTCTTTTCACATCAGTAGTGAAGCTACTTGTCTCTAAGTCACGGTCTCCAAAGAATCAAAATCACAAGCAATCCCAATAGCAATGGGGAAAGATGGCAACAAATACTGGTAGATCTGTAGTCAAACAACCTGGGAGTCTTAGCTCTGCCATTGACTATCTGCATGATGATGGGCAAGTCATTTTCCCTCAAGGAGCCTCAGTTTTCTCATCGGTAAAGCGGGGAACAACAACATCTCACAGCATTGTTGTCAATTATCAGATGAAAACACTTACAAGGAGAAGGGAAAATCATCTTTACACTGCTTGCAACTTTTGGTTTTAGTGCCTCAAGATCCTCTTCTGTAAGAATAACTAAAGGTAGGCCTTGCTCTCTCCTCATGACGGAGGAGATGAAAAGCCAAGAGTAGCCAAGTTGGAATTCTCATTGCCCACCCTCCACATCCTCCTCGATTTAAGGATACTTATGGTCAAAGTTGTACCACATCCTGAAGAGCCAAGCGCTTTCAGCTTTTGTGTTCCTTCTTTCACTCTCTGGGAAGCCCTGTGACCAGAGGAGAAAGAGATTAGGACAATGGAACAACTGGTTATTGACACCCATTCCCTCTCAAAGATTCAGGAAGGAAAAAAATCCCCTCTCTGTGCTATTTTGAAGGGTCATTTGGATGTGACTTGGCATCCCTCTTTGCTATTCGCACTGCCACCTGCTGGGTTGTAGCCCTAGCCACCTCTCCACCCATGATAGAAGCTCTGATCTACCAACGCCCTAACAAATGTGTCCAGCAGTGGGCCATAAGGATTGCCCAGAGAGCACACAGTCTCCTCAACAGCTGGCTATCTTAACGATTAGCAAGGTGAAGTTCATCAATTGATTTCTTTTCATGCTACCATGTAGGCAAACAAACCAAGGCTTGGTTCAGACCAGAAGAAATGTATTTTGAAACTAAATACAACACAAACCATCCCAGCTCTTCTAATACTGTATTAATATTATTAATTATATATAATAATATTTTGCATCTGTCTTCCAGACATTCAAGTGGCCCTTACCAGAGAAGAAATACATGACTCGGTACTGGGCAATGGGGCTTGGTAAATAGGAAGCAAATGATCATGAGAAAGAAGTAAGCCTGTTAGAAACCAGGGTTTTAACTGAATAAAACTCTACAGGTTTATTCCTGTACCTCAAAAAGCACTCAGAAGTGTGCATGGCATCAGGACAAGGGTGGGATACAGGACCAAGAGATTCTAGCGCCCTTAAACAGGCAGGCTCAAAGATTTCTGGGTAATTCTGAAGGGCTGCTGCTGGTCACCCAGTTTGGAAGTGAGGGTAGCCAGACTTCCGAAGGAAGGCTGGAAGCAGAGTCCAGCCTTCGTGCACAAACCCAAACGGAAAAAGGCTCCCCTTGCCAGAGCCCTTAAGTACTGCTCTCCTCTCCAAGGGTGGTCTAGAGATAGGAGAGCCATCACCTTGGATACCATGACCACAGCTATGCTCTGCTTTGGTTTATATCAGGCAGTAGGAAAGGCAAGGAACAGCTAATTAAAAGAGCTGAGAAACCAAGCTTCGATGTGGTAGAGGTTTTACTCACTTTCACTACAGGTAACTTCACATCAGACAAAAACATCCATGCGTACTTACCAGATGATCCTGGTCTGAATCAACTCCAACCCTAAAGGAGGAAACACAAATGTCAGATGAGAATCTGGGCTTTTAAACCTGTGGCAGCTCATTTTCTTAACATAGGCAATGTGAGTACACAACAAGGGAATTCTAGGCTTGGGATGGGAAGGACGAGGCTGCAGCCCAGCTCTGCCCCCTGCTTGCCACCTGTGGCTCCTGGAAGTCACAGCCTCTGCGGGCATGTTTCCTCATCTGTAAATTTTGGTTTTTGCCTAGACTTGGGATTAACCTTCCCCCATTCCTCTTTTCCAGTTATTGGTGCACTTTGCCACCTTAAACTGTCTTTTATTTAGGCATCTGTCCACATGTTTTATCCCCCAGTAAAATGGTGATACCTCAAGGCCTGGGACAGGTTTTTATTTTTGCCTTTGTAACCCCATGACACAATTCAGTGCTCAATAGAATTGATTTCATGAGTGCATGGAACTCTCAAGGTAGAAACCCCTTCCAATTAAGCATATGGCAATTTTAATGAGCTTTATTATTTTGTTTTCTTTTTTGGTCTACACCTCTGATTTGCCTGGCATAGGAAACTCCTGGTGTGGAAACTCCCTCTGCTCATGAAGATCAGTAACTTAGTCTTGGAGAGTTGTGTGAGCTATTGGGAGGTTAAATGACTTTCCCAAGGTCACATAGTCAGGCTGTGTCAGAGGCAGGACATTCTTGAACCCAAGGCTTCCTGACTCCAAAGCCAAAATACCATGAGTCATACATGCCTTACCAATTTCAAGGGGTTTTTGTGGGAGGAAAATAAAAAAAATGTGAAAATGTCAGCCATCATTAATAAAAATAGCTTGGATTCCAAATTTGGCAACGATTGCCAATCTTACTAGGGGAAAGAGAGAGAGGAAAGAAAGGAATAAGTATTTGTTAGGTACCCACCATACACCAGGCACTGTGCTAAGCACTTTACAAATAGTATCTCATTATACTCCTCAATCTCTTAAACTAATATAAAAATGACATTTCTCTGGAAATTACAGTACTACCACATCTCAGGTTTGGACCAAGGGATATAACTGTCTCCCCTTTAAAAGAGGGTACTTTACTGGTGCTATTCCAGAGACAAGGGAAAAAAAAACAACAACAAAGAAAAGTATTTAGGGAAGGGAGATTTCTTTCTAGCCTCATTTCCACCATCATCAAATGCTGCAACAGAAAAATGTCTAGGTCTATGTCAAAGGCTAATGGAGAAGCCAGCCATGGGGCACCGTGGTCATTTCTGACTTTCTAGGATGTGTTCAAAACAATGGCTAAAACCACAGAAAAATGACTGTTCCATGTGTTATTGTGGGACTAAAGCAAAGCCTGGAGGAAGAAAAAGATCAGAGCTCTTGTTCAGATGGAGTGGATTCTAACAAAGGTGTGGTCAGAAGCTCACTGTTTGTGGTTTTAAAATGTCAAAAGGCTGAGAGTCCTTAATCTGCATACTAATAGCAGATTTGAAGCAAATCCATGAATGTAAAGTGACATCTAGTGGTCCTGGAGAGTCATCACACTTAGAGTCATCACATTGGGTCCAAAGTCTCCAAATCAATTCCATATTCAGTAAATACCTATGGTGGGCACAGTACTGGGTTCCGCACTTGGAGAGGACAAGAGTGGTTTTAAATCTGCCCTTAATGATCTTATGTGGAGGATGAAACTCATACACATGAAATAGAAAATACAAGATCACATAAATTCAATTGTATGCTTTGGAACCCTGCAGGGGCAGGGTGGAGCCATATAAAGGCAGGCAAGAGTTGAAACTCAGTTTTTGGGGTTGTTTGCATTGACTTAACCCTTCCATCACCTTAAAAAAAAAAGACCTTGCTAAGGAATTAGCTTAAGATAATTTAGGAAACTATAATTATCCTTTAGTGATAACAAAAGTATTAGCATCTCACTCAATAGCTTTTCAAGGGAAAGAAAAAAGCTTAAGGCCGCTAATTTCTAAAAGCACCATCACCTGAAACAATATTCAGGGTATTTCCCTTTTGCACAGATGTACAAATGACTGTCTCAGACACAGTAAAAGCAGGTGTCTCAGTGATTGACCTGGATTAAAAAAATAATTCACCAGGATTAGGCAGGTATGGCTAGATTGGACACCTGGTTTTTAGATCCTTTCCCAGAAAGGAAGGGAAAGAGAAAAGGAAAGGAGCTAAAATGGACTTTTTTTTTTTAACGGACCATATTGTTTTCTCTAGTCAATGTCATAGATTTGGGGGGCTCAGTAGGTTCCTAGGGCGTATAAAGTCTCAGCTAGTACACATAGCTAAAACCTATAAAGGCTTTAACAATCCAGGCTGCTGTTTCCATAGAAACAGATGTGGGACTGGGGAGATGAGAGGGAGCCTTTAAAGTAAGTACATTTTCAAATATTAAAAATAAAAGTCTTCCAACTTTAACCTTGGAGTGGTTGGTCACAAACAATGCTGCTCTTTGGGTGAAGTCTAAAATTCTTCTACAAACTCACAATCAAATAAAGAGTCTGAATTGTAATTTAACATTCCAACACCAAGGCATCTAGTTTGCTCTTACCGGATGTTCAGACATGACAACATGGCCGTGGTGCCCCCACCAAACACCCACACAGTAAAAAACACAATCAGGAGCGTCGTGCTGAACATCATCTGCCTCGCATAGGTGGCAGTGTCCCGAATGGCCAAAGCAAAGGCCATGGCGCCACGAAGGCCTGAAAGGAAACAAGGGATTATTTTATGCTATTAACCCATCGACCATGGGAACTACAAGAAATCCACAGAAGCAATGGGATTTCAGGGAAATGGGAAACGACTGAAAATAACCTTTTTTTTTTTAAAGTCTAGTACACAGTACTGACCATCATTCATCTTCATCCTCTCCCCCTCACCTCCCAAGTCCTCTTCTCCCACTTCCTACCTAACAATGCCAAGTAAAACATTACAAGGGGCAGTTAGTGTCAAAGTGTGATGAAGTTTGGTTACAATAGGTCAGTGATATTATTGCCAAACCACACTCGTTGGGACAAAATTACACAGGGTACAACTACATTCCCACTCCCCCAAACCCAGTAGAATAAAAGCTCTTTGTAAACAGGGATTGGTTTGTTGTCTTTGTATCCAGAGCCCCTGGACCAGTGCTTTGCACAATAGGCATTTAATAAATGCTTGTTGATTGTAATTCAACTAAACTAGGAATTGAGAGCTAAAATGAGGAAAAATAACAATGGTGGAGAAAGGGGCATAATTCACCACAAAATGACATCAATCGATTAACTTTTAATAAGCACCTACTAGGTACCAGGCACTGTGCTAAGCTCTGGAGATGCAAAAAGAAGTAAAGACAGTCCCTGCCCTCAAGAAGCTTACAATCTAAAAGACATTTTACCATAAAATTCTAACTTTAATACTCAAAATACATGAAGGTGCTACTATTTCATCAGTGTGAGGAATTCTTCACATTGCTGCCTCCAACAACTGTAGATGGCAACCCATCTGAGGCAAGATTGGAATGCAGGGCTTCCAGACTCCAAGCCCAGCACTCCTATCCACTACACCACAGCTGCCTCTATTATCACTTCAATAATTAAAAGGATTTGATGTCATTGGCAGTCATTTCCATTTAGGCAATCATTTCGTGTTCTGTGTGGTGGCTTGAGGAGGAAAAAGAAAAGAGAATCACATACTTACCAGCAAACATCATCATATGTTGAAAATTTGATCCAATCTTATTTCTTCTGCCCAAATTAAGTAAAAAGGACAATGGATAAATATTGGCAGCTCTTCCCAAGAAAATGGCAAGCTAAACACATTAACACGTTAAGGATCAATTTCTTACACTTGTTTACACTTATTTGTTAAAATGATGGGTAATAGTAATGAGAGAAAGTCTGAGGCATTGAACTCAAATTCTAAAGCAAGATAAATTATTAAAAGGGACAGTTTGTGAACACCTGGAAGCAGGTAATCACTAAACCCCAGAATGGTTACACTAAGAACAAATCACTCCAGCCTCACCTAATTTCCTTTTTTGACAGGATTATTAGACTAAGGGAAGGCTATAGCTACAGCTGAATTTCAGCAAGGCACGGGATGAGATCTTTTACAATATCCTTGCAGAGAAGACAGATAGATGTGGCCTGGATGATAGTACAGTGAGGGGGGTTCAGAACTGGCTGACTGACCAGAACCAAGAAGCAAAAGACAACTGGAGGGAAGTCTCAGTTATGAGGCTCTGTTTTGTTAAGCATTATCAATGATTTGGATAAAAGGCAAAGCTGGGAAGGATCCCAAAAGATCGACAAGTTGAAATCATGGGCTGAATGAAGCTAAGAAGATTAATTTAAATACCGTTTGTTGTTTTGTCCTTTTCAAAGAGGACCAATGACACCATGGGTGATGCCTTGACTCGTGCGTGAATTGGATTTAAGTGAGGCAGAGCTGCACAAAGTCATCAGCCTCAGTCTCTCTTCCTGAGTCATTGAAGTCCAGTGGCAAGACAAAACTCAAGACAATTGGTGATGGCCCGGCATGCAGTGGATGACCATGGCATCTTCCATGTCTGACCAAGCTCTAAGCGCTCCACAGCTCCTGCTTCAGCTGCCTTCATGGCTGTTAGAACAAATTGTTCTCATCTGCCCATTTTGCTGGAGAAGTCTTCATGTGCTTGGGGTAAACACTGCCCCCCAACTTAATGCTTGGGTTACAAGAAAAATCAATTGCACAAAAATAAGACAGGGGACATGTCTGGAAGGCAGTTCTCAGAGGTTCTATTGGACTGGAAGCTCAAGATGAGCTAGCAATGTGATACGAAGGCTAAGAGTTTACAATTTAATTAATGAGGATAATAATAGTTTACAATTATATGGTTTAAAAATGCTTTTCTCATCACCCTGTAAGGTGGCAGATAAGGAAAACGAGGTTTAAAGCGTTGAAGAGTGCCTTAGCAAAGGCCACACAGCTAATACATATCAGTGCTGGGACTCAACCTTGGGTGGTCCAACTCCAAAGGCTAGCCTAGCTTTCTAGAACACCACAATGTTTCTAAAAATACAGAGTTCAGAACAAGCTGCTGCTCTGGTTGGACTACAGTTGGAATCATGTGTCCAGTTCCAGGTACCCCCACATTTGAGGTAGGACATTGATTGATAAGCTGTGTATCCAAAGGAGGACAACCAGCATGATGAGGGGATCAGATGAAAGAACTATGCATATTTGCCTGCAGAAGCTAGACTATGATGACAGCCTTCAAATGGATGAAGAAAAAAAAAGAGGAAAAAAATAAAAATAAATAAAAATTAAAAAATAGATCAAGAGCTCTGATCCTTCTTGCATTCGAGACTTGTTTTGCTTGACCCCAGCGAGCAGAATTAGGACCAATGGATGTAAGTCACAGAAGGAGAATTTGAATCAACACAGGGAAATACCTTAACAATTACAACTATAAGAGGCTGCCTTGGGGGCTGGGACAGTAAGCTCCCTTTCACTGAAGGCTGGATGCCCAGCTACTGAGGATACTGCTCTAGAAGCTGGGCATGGGATGGCCTTTAAGGCCCCTTCTAGCATTAAAAATTCTAACTCTACAAACTTTCTGACTGTCAATCACCTACTGAAAATCCACTAGAAGATGAATGAAAATCTATTTTAAAAGAATTATACTAAAAAAAAGTCTAAGGGAATACCAAAATTGACTCATTTTACTTGATAATTTTGGCAGAATGAAAGTGTTTCCCTGTCCCATTTGTTAGGCACTGACTTCTATTCCCTCTTCAGGATTCAGAACAGGGAACTTTAATTACCTTGCCCTTTTAAGATCTGCAGTGGCCCTGGTCCAAGTGTAGCCCGCCTGTCTGGCTGGTAAGAAAAGGCCTACCATTCGAGCAGACAAAGTTTAGCTAGAAGCGTATTTTCATATCTTTTCTGAAGGCCCAAGGAACACAGAGCTCAAGCGAGAGAAAAAGATATTCAACAATTCCACCTTGTTTCCACAGATTAATTATAGGATTGTTTTTGTCACTCTGCTATGCAGGAAAAGCGCACAGAGAGAAGTCAAAGAGGCCAAGGGAAAAGCAAAGCTCGGGACCTAGAGGGGCCAATGAGAAGGCCCAAGTAAACACTCTCTTAGGATGATCAAAGGACAACCTGCACTTCTGAACATAGGGGGTTTTCTTCAGATTTTCTCATTTCTCTGCTTCTGCTTCATTCCGTTTTTCTCACGGACTGGCAACATATTTATTTAGTGGGGCTTCTTGTCCAGTTTTTCCTCTTTCTTGGTAATTGATCAGCCGTTTTATGGCTGAGCTTATAGACCAGCATTTCTGGAACAAGAGCAGCCCCTTCTTTACCTCCCTCACTACACATGGCTAGCACAGAACATTCTTTTGAGTCCTGATGCTGTTGGTGAGGCTCTTCATGTGGAGCTTCATATGATCTCCCTGCTACACACCCTGATATCTTCAGCGCCTTTACCATTGCCTGCAATGCCCCTATACCGGTATATCACCTAGTGCCCTATAAGGGAAGAGAAGAGGGAGAACGGGAAGGGAGAAAGCCGAGGAAAGAAGGAGGCTGGGAAGCAATGAAGACACATGCCAGGCACTGCATTGGGTGGAACCCATCCTATTCCTATCTCCACAGGACGGCTGTAGTACCTCTTTGCTCGACCTATCTGGGTGCCACTACTCTCACAGGATCAACTGCCCCCTCCCCAGTCCCTCAGGGTGAGAGGAATGAAGAGTGAATGAAGAGTAGGGGGAGAATCGAGCTGCTCCTTATCACCATCCCTCCAGCCTCTATCCCTGATCCAAATTTGTCAACTAACTGGCAATGTGCATTTTTTTTGGCCACTTGTTGAAATGGAGTGAATTTGTGGCTGAAGATATGCTTTAGAAATCACTATCTCTTTGAACAAATTTGAGAACAAGGGTGAAAAATGGAAATTCCTGGTATTTTCGGTCTGAGGAAATGGCATATATACATACTGTCAATGCATTCTTGTGCCCTCCCTGATCCAAATCAGTGAAATTGCAAAATGCTTCCCTCAATCTTGCCAGAAAAACAAGGATACGAAAGCACCCACCACGAAAGTCGGGTTAAAGACGTGGTTCTGGAAAGTGAAGAGTGTCAGTCCCATGTATGAGAAGATGAAATTTTCCGCCAAGAAATTGAGAAGCTCAAACAACTAAAAAAAATGGTTTTAAAAATATTTTCTAGGGAAAATATAGTTACATTATCTTCAACCATGCTTGAATCACATAAGACAAGTGCTCATTCACATATCCTAAAAATTGACAGGAGACCAACAAGCATGTAGAACTGCCCACTCCAAACCACCCAAATTTCCAGGAGTCATCTCTGATGATCAAAAACCTAGCTTCCCCCTTTCCAACTTCCTGATTTCTACCAACCAATGGCATCATCATTCTCCTAGTCATCTTTGGATCATCATTACAGAACTCAGGTGGGCACAGGACATGGAAGGAGAAGTTTTCCACTTCCTTGTTGGAAATGTTTCTTGGACCCTACCTCATAAACGTTGCTATCACCTGAGTGTAGACCAGGGGTAGGGAACCTATGGCCTTCTAAATCCTTAAGTGCAGCCTTTTGACTGAATCCAAATTTTATAGAACAAATGCTTTACCATTGGTTTCTCACCATCCTGGGAGCCAGGCATTGTAAGAGGTAGAATTCTCATTTTATGGATGAGGAATTTGAGGCTACAAGAAGCGAGGGAATTTGCCCAAAGTTTCCTACCTACTGAGTATCAGACAGAGGTGGGATTTGAACCCAGGTCTCTCTCTTGCTTCCAAGGCTAGCACTCAAAAGATTCTGCCATGATGCCTCAGGATCAAGGTTCAAGTTCATTATCATGGAATCATACTTGGCTAGGGGACACAGCCTGTACTTGTGTCCAGTGGTATTATCACTTATGTACACCTTGTCTCCAAGGAGATGATTATCTCCCTGAAGGGTGGGAATACAGGCAATCACAGCTTAAGCTACTTTATATTCTCCACAGTGGCTAATGTATATTTGTTGAGTGACTAAATTCAAGGCCTTCCATGGAGGGCTCCATCCTCTACCTTTTTCTGATAAGGCAGGAAGGAAGAGGGCTGCGCTGACACTTTTTTTAATCAGCACTCCCTAGCATGGGTCGTCTGCACTGTTCCAAATACATCATCGTGGTCTTTCTTGCCCTGTCATTCACCATTCCCCAACCCACACCCCCAATCTTACCGTCCTTCGAGGTCCAGCTCAAGTTCTCCCCCTTCTACGAAGCATTCCTGACACATCCACACTACCACGAGCCCTGCCTTGTATAAAGGCCTACTACCACACGTCATGTCATTATTGGACAATCAGGATCACACACTGTCTGAGTCTTTTCTCACTACCTGGGCTACAAGGGAAGGACTCTCCTCTCTCCCCCACTTCTGTCTCTCTCCATCTCTCCCCCATTTTTCTCTCTCTTTCCCTCTCTGTTTCTGCCTTCCTCTCTCTCCCTCTCTCCATTTCTCTCCTCTCTCCCTCCTTCCTCCATCCATCTCTTTGCTTCTCCCAGTGTCTCTCTCCCTCTCTCTCCCCTTCTCTCTCTCCCCCATTTCTCTCCTTCCTTCCCTTTATTTCTTTCTCTCCCTCTGTTTCTACCCCTCTCTGTCTTTCCCCCATTTCTCTCCCTCCATCTCTCCCCCTCTCTCAGTCTCTCTCTTTCACATCTACCCACTGTGCCTAGCAAAATGCTGGCCTCACAGGTGAACTAAATTAATCTGTAAAAAGGAGGAACCCAGGTTTAAAAAACAAGACACTTGATTAAAAGTACTTTGTCTCTGAGTTGAAAGAAAAACCAGTGTCTCTTGGAGCTACGAACTCAATTCCTTAACAAGAAAAATGTCTTTGCTGCTGCTTCACTAATGGTCCTAATCACTTAAGCAGCCTGAGAACACTTACTCTCTCCACACGGCTGGAATCAAGTACAAATTTGTATCTGGCACATTTTTCATCCATTGTCCTCCCTCCCTCATTAGCCTGCAAATTGGAGGGCCCAGGCTCTGCCTGAGCCCCACAGATACCCTGCCCGTGGGATCACTCAAGATGCCTTTGTGGGGGTTGTTCCATCACTACTGGAGCCCCCTCCTGCTCCCAAGGCCGAAGTATCCCTGGAAATGTCAGTGATGAGACAACAACAGAGAGGGGAGGCATGTTAGCTTTTCCTGGACCTCCCAGAAGCAGCCCCTTTCAACTTCCTCAAAGCTGCTACAGATGGAGAACTCAAGGAGCCGGGGAGGCTCATGGTCCTGTCCACCCTGACCCCACCCACTCCAGGGAGTGACAGTTAGGAGCCAGACTGGGCCAACAAGACTTAGGACACGGAGGTGGTTTGGGCAGCCGGGCCAAAGAAGCAAACAATTCTGAGACAAGTTGCAAGGTCTGTCTTACCTGCTTGGTTCTATGCTGCGAATCCGGTGACAAGTTATTGTATGTGTAGTGTGCTTGTGTGATGCCACAAAACAAGACTGCAACTACACCTGCAGTGAGGACAAAGTCCAGCTTTAGCTAAGAAACCCTTATTAGCAAAGAGGAACTTGACTTTTTTATGATTAGTTCCCTTAATTCTGCAACCCTCCCGTGTTTCATGTGAAAAGTGATTTTACTTTCTAAAGCAAAACTGGGAGGAGAAATGGGGGGGAGGGGAGGAAAGAAAAAGGGGCGGGGGAGAGCAGTCAGCCCAGCCATTCCCTCTCAATGGTTAAAATCACAACGGTAACGCGACCTACCAGTGAAACCCCAGGCTTCGGCCAGAAGGAAAGTACTCCAGGACATCAAGAAGAACAGGCCTGTTTCCAGCAAGTGGAACTCTCGCAGTTTGGTGAACTTCGTCACGTAAGACTGTTAAGGTTGGTCTCAAAATGATGAAATGCACTTTAATTTCAACACAAAAAATTGGCAAGTTCCTATACAATGCTCATATACTTTCTCCATCCCCTCCCCAATGTTATTAAAACAAAGTCTAATTAATGTAATAAAAAAAGTACAAAAAACGTATCCAACAAAGTCTAATTAATGTAACAAAAAAAAAGAACCAAAAAAATGCTGGTTCTAGGTCTCAATCAAGGCTTCTTAACCTGGGAGTTAGTGAACTTTAAAAAAATCCTTTGATCACTATATTTCAATATTGGTTTCCTTGGCAATTTTTAAAACACAGCGTTCTGAGAAAAGGTCCAAAGGCTTCTCCAAAGGGTCCAGGATACCAAAGGTTAGGAAGCCCAGGGGCAGGCACCGCATGAAGAAGCCCGTAACCTCATAGTCTCTCCTTCATAAAGGAAGCTTATCATAGGCATACTGTTTCTAGTCAACCAAAGTGCTTTTTAAGCTTCTAGTTTCTCCCCCAAATATGTGGAGAAAAGGACAGAATGAAGAAATGATAGCAGCAGATCACAAGAAGCTACTAGTGAGCTCTCTCACATGTGTCAAGATGGTCTCCAAGCTAAAACTTCGTATCTGTATTAGCCTTCTGGATTTTCCAAAGCATTTTTACAGCTCATTTTATCCTATAATCACCTGGTGAAGTAGTTGAAGCATTGCACATATGGGGAAACTGAGGAACAGACTAAATGACTTGCCTCCAAAATGATTGCTTCAGGCTGGTTAGCCATCCAGCGAGGTGCTCAAATGGTTCTGTTTACTTACCTTCCAAGAGACTAAGAGTACCACCTTCCCCGACAAAAGCAAACAAAGTATATTTGGAGATCCTTGCTTTTATAAGGGAGAAATCTTAAGCAAAAGGCATAAATTATTAACAGAACTGAGATCTTGAACAAGTCCCTTCCTTTCCCTGGGCCTCAGTCCTATGTGTGAAGTGAGAGGTCTGGACACTATTATTTCTATGGTCAGAGCACTGGGCCTGGAGTCAGGAAGACCTGAGTTCAAATCTGACCTCAAGACACTTCCTAGCTGGGTGACCCTGGGCAAATCATTTAACCTGTCTGCCTCAGTTTCCTTATCTGTAAAATGGGGATAATAACAGTACTTACCTCCCAGGGTTGTTATAAGGATCAAATGAGATAATATTTGTGAAGTGCTTAGCACAGTGCCTGGCACATAGTAGGTATTTACTTAATAAATGCTTATTCTGCCCCTTTCTCTCTCTCCACCCCCTCAATCTAACATTCTAGGAGAAGATTAAAGTATTCAGACTTCTCCTTACTCAAGCTACATACGTGGCCTATTGGACACCACAGCCTGACATTTCCTGCTTTTCTCATTAACCAAAGGACCAAAGAGTTACATCCCACTCTGGTGGGAAAGAACCAACAGGCATTTTAAGACAGAAAATGATTGTATATACACTCACATCAATTTGTTCTGTAACCTTAGAAAAGGGATAGGGGTGGAAATGTACCAAATTCACTTTTTTTTTCTTCTTTTTTTTCAAATTCACCTTTTGCTGTAAAAGTCACACCTATTCAAGATAAAAACTATAAAACCTTTTCACTGGTGCTTTATGTGGTTTTTTGAAAGGAAAAAAAAGCAACTGGTAAGATTCAGCAGTCATAGGACAATGCCATATAATGCTTGCATTTCAAACCCCCGAGAATAAGCACTGGACACAGAAGCACCTTCCCAAAAGACCAATGAAAGGATATCAAAGCCGTGACCACTCCTGTGGCAGCTCCCATGGCAAAGGAACCACTGAATATCCCCAAGAAGATTCCAATAGACTTAAACATGGCTGTCACGTCAAACGTGTGGCTATTGTCTCCAGCTGGCTGGTATGCCACGATGGAACTGAGAAAGGGGGAGAGACCTCACTTATTTCTTAAGAAGTGAAGAAAGAGACTTTGCAAATCTGATGTGAAAATGAATGTTCAGGATGGGGGCTGGCTGGCTATTTGGTTTCGAATTACTGAAATAAGGGCAAAGACTTCCATGTGTATACAAGAAAACCTCAGCTTTTGGCTTAAATGTCAATTTCAGTTATAGATTAAAAAAAAATACTGTCGTATTATGTATGAAAACTGGATTAAGCCTTTAGTTCTCTCTCCTTCCAGTCTCTAGAGTCAGTTATCTGAACACAGAGCAGGAAGAAAGTTCTGTCTGAGCGCTCTTAGCATCTGAGTGCCTCACAACCCTACATACTAATGTGACCGAGATAATGAAAACTGGGCCCACTTATTCTGAGCAGAGGCATCAACACATCAACACTGCTCGAGATGCAAACCTGGTTTGCCTGAAGTACTTTTCAGCTATAAGAACCACCCCCAGAGCGACACAGGGGAATGAACATTTTGTAGAGAGGAGGACCCAGGGAGACTGCTCACTGAGCTCAAGCAGTTATAACAATCCACTTGTCAGCATCTCCAGTGAATCCATTTCTTCCCAACCTCACTGGAATATTAACTACCCAAGTCACTCTGTAATAGGCAAGCCCCACATTTAACGGGAAGCCTTTCCTACCTCAACTTTCTAACCCAGATCGGGGTTGAACAGGACTTTGGCAGCACTCACCCTGGGAAATAGACACAGATTTGAAAAGCAAACTAGGTCCCCAGTGATAAGACTCTCTATTCCTAAATAAAGTTTGGATCCAGTTAATTAGTTACTACAGGTATAAAAAAAATTCCTGCCAGATCATCAGTGAAAATAGAAGAGGGGGTGGCCAGGGAGCCCTCCAAACAGACAAAACACGTTCCGTTTATCCTCCCTGTGGTTACTGCAATATGCTTCTGATTACAAGTGTGAAAACATGCTTAGTATATCGTATAGACAAGACTCTCTTTATATCCCCAGGTTTAAGTCAATAAAATGTGCTTAAAACCAAACAAAATATACAAAAATTGAGGCAAATAACAGTCGACATTAAATTTCATACTTGGACTTACAACTAAAAATGTAAACATGGGGGTGAAACATTTTAAAGTAATATAATAGTCTTTGATGGTGAGACATTATGTTGCTCAAATAACTACATAATAACCTTTAAGGAACTAATGTATGAAGAGTTTTTTTTTTTCTAATGGCATGGCTCACTCCACTACAAAGAGACACACTCATGATAACAGCATAGACAATAGCTGACCAGAGATAAGAAAGGCCTGCTTCCATTCCCGAGGGATATTTTCAGAGCAATGGCTCCAATAAAACACCTATAATTTGGCTTGAAAAAGGATGCTCTTCCTCAGCTTTCCCCTTGTCAAAGTATAGGTAATCAGAATGAATCATCCTGATCATCTATATACTCATTTCCAAGGAACCCAAAACAAAATGTCACTGGAAAATGAAGATTAACCATGGGTTAAAAGCAGATGGAGGGCTTTCTTTCATTACAAAAGCTGGCCTCCAGACTGAAGTTTTAGCTCAGGTTTTCACCATCAGGCAGCACTTTATCTCACAGAATATAATTTGAGCCACCTGAAACTAAGTCTTTCTCAATGGCTTCCCTTACCTTTTCTTACTTGTAAAACCCAGGCCTGAGACCTGCTCCCCTTCCTCCCCTTCCTCCCCTTCCTCCAATGCAAAGGCTGCTGTTGATAGACGGGGCAAATCCATCTAAACTAATGCTTGGCCCAAACTGTTTTTATTCCCAGCCATCCCAAACTTGGGATTTTGTAACTATCCAAAAAGCAAATGAAGGGTGCTGCTAAAGGCGTTAGCAAGCACTCTAGCTGGTGATGCCCTGGGGCCAATGAAAACCTGACACGGTCTGTTTCTTTCCTGCTTTGAGACAAGAATTCATTTACTCAACTGGGTTAAGACAATCATGCAGCCTCTTGAAAGGCAGTGGGGTGTGAGGCAAAGAGCACCAGCTTATGGAGGTTTGAGTTTCTATCCTTCAATGGTCAAGTGGCCACAGAATCTGCTCATCTATAAAATGGGGAGAACATTGGCACTACCTCCAGGGAGAGGGGGAAGGGGAGGGAGTGGGGTAGATAAGGAAAGCACCTTCTCAACCTAAGACTCTTAAAGAAATTTAAGCTATTATTATAGCTGGTGTTCTTCAAAGAGGGCATCTTCAGATACACCCAGCCAATAATGACAAGTGAATTTAAAAAAAAATTATCCTTTGCAAATATTTGCATTTCTATGTCAAACCCCAAAGCTTTAGAAATGATCTTTGAAATCCAACTTTATAAAATATTATTTCTGACTTTAAATAGGAAAAAAAGCCGAGAGCACATCTGAGCCAGAATTGAAGTGTTTTTGTCACACAAACCCCCCTACCCCACCCTCCTCAAGCCCTGAGGCCAATGAGAAAGACAGACTGTTTGTCAGTGACATTTTCCAGGAGCACGGACAAACAAGAAGTTAGCTCTCTCCTGTTCTCTTCACCTCTTTGAGGTCAGCATCAGTGAGCTGAGATATACAAGTGGTCCAGAAAATAGAAATCTTAATAGGACTGCAAGCTCCATGAGGACAGAGGCTGGATGCTCATCTAAACTCTGTATCTCCCTCAGCAACTAGCACAGTGCTTTCCACCCACAGCAAGTCCTTTAATAAACATTTGTCTGGAGGAATATGTTGTTTTTAGCAACTCAGAAAACAACACAGCTAGAAGCCTTATAATTCATTTTTCCTTCTCCCAATTAGTGCACAGTTTTGACTCTGCATCTAGAGTCCACCAAAGGAATGAAATTGTTTAAATCTCTATAACAAATTAGTCTATGCTGTATTTCCTGAATTAACTATATATGAGCTGTGAGCAGCTGCAAAAAATTCAGCGATGAGGATGAGAGATGGGGAAAAGGCTTTCCAGAACTATACTCATTGAAATCTACCAGTCCAACTCACTGCCAAGTAAACCCAAATCCAAAATGACAAAACTTAAGAGGAGGAAATGAAACCAGTACAGGAGAGCCAATGCCCAAAGAATGATTTCCCATTTGGCAGCAAGGCAAAAAAGGGTATTTAGGATGGTTAAATTAGTTCTTCTATTATATCTAGAAGGTGAAACTTGAGGAAGAAAGGGAGTGAAAGGAAAAAATATACGGGGCTTCTGTTCCCTCCATTCTCTCACCCCCACATACGGAAAGAACAGGTCCAGAGTACCTTGGGGGACTTAATTGGGGGACACAGGAACTCAGTGTACTGGAGGACCACGGAATTCCTAAGCTATCGGCTATGGGAGGAGGAAGGAGACCAATCAGCATAGCAACTGTAATCTAGAAATTACAGCAATAGGAAGTAAGTTAGGTGATGCCTATGTGTTTGTATTTTATTCAAAGTAATTCTGCAGCTTAGAAGTATTTTGAGTCAGATTACGTTTGGTTTGGACAGGTGACTTTTGCCTCCTATGCCCTAATACTTCACATCTAGTTATAACCCAAGTTTTAAGAAACAAAAACCCCAACACACTTACGAAGACAGCACTATAGCAACAGCATCATTAAGGACACTCTCCCCAAAGAGAAGCGCGTAGAGTTCAACGTCAACTTGAAGTTCGTGGAATATGGCAAGAACAGTCACTGACAAAAACAAGAATTTTTTAAGTTTTAAGAATGGTCGTTATCGATACACTTGCCACAACTGCTTTTCTTTTTCATAACAAGGACTTGGTTTTTGTTCTCAGAAATTCACTCCTTCACAAAAAATTCTAAGACAATTTATAACATAAATTTAGATGCGTGCCAACATTTCCTTTTATATTATTACATCAAAAACACCATTCCCTTCACACGCAACAAAAATTCCTTTTTCCATCTCCAAAGCAGCTTAAAATAAAAGGCTTGTGTTTTGTGAATGCTCAGGAGGACTGAGTGTGACCACACAAAGAACATGAGCTTCAAAAATATCTCTTCTTCATTTTCTTTTCCATTGAGATCTTATTCAAAGCTCTGTCTTACACCAAGTAATCATCTCCCTTCTATGCTGTAGAATATTGTTTGTATAGAGACAGAAACAGAGAAAGATAGATAGATAGATATAGACATAGACAGACAGACACAGATAAATAGAGAGTCCCCACTGTGGACTTTACCTTGGAGCTTGTTTTCTCTATAAGGCACCCAAATATCAACAACAATGCTTTACATGAACAATAGGGAAAATGAGGACAAGGCTGGTTTTCGGTTGGCATCAAAATCTTCCACCAAGGATAATGGCCAGAAAAACAGGTGGGCTGTTTACTATAACAAGAAGTCAACTCTACTGATTCATTGCTGCCTTGGGGCAAGGGGGAGGGAGGCAGGAAAGAAGTAACTCATCCACATTGAAAAAACTAGTTATATGGAAACCCTAGAGAAATAAGAGGAGACTGAAGCCATATGTATTATAACCTCCACTGCTGAGTCATGCACGGCCCACTTGCTGCATAAACCAAGGCTACCATGAAAGATTAATGTAATCCGAAAATGCTAGTGCCTCTTCCAAAGGCAACTAAAATTGAGAAGCAGGCATTTTGAAAAGACGCAATTTCCCTTGGAAAACACTTCAACTGGAACGTACAGATATCATGACAGCAAAGCAAAAGGATACAAGAGTAACTTCTAGAATATTAAACAGTAACCTATGGCTCTCCTCTCTCAAGGTGAGCTGCTGCAACATGACAAGGCTAGCCCCATGGGCCAAGGCAAAGACTGAGGGAAAATGTCTATCTAGTTCAAGGGAACAGAAAGCCCCCTATCTGGAAGATTCAGGAAAAATGGGTTTTGCGTGAACCATCCAACTAGCTTACCTTTTACAAGCAAAGTGAAAAAATTGGAGGTTGAAACAACAAGGCCAGACTGATCACCTTGAACAAGTAATCTGACTGCCTTGAGATTTGGAAAAGTATGGGTAATTGTCTTTCATTAAGGGAGGCCTCGAAATCTGATAGCTTGCTGGCTCCTGGAAAGAACAACCAACTGAATGGCTGGCAGAAAGCCATAAGGTTCGAGCCTCCTGGGCTAAGATAACTTTGTCCTGACACCTGTACATATGAACATTAAGAAGAAAGCCCTGGAGGTCTTTGAGAAAATCACTGAGCTCCATCTTTAAATGCTAAATGATACCAACTGCTGGCCTCAAAACATTAACCTGCCTGATTTTAATCCAAGGTCAGCTTATACCAGAAAAAGGACACATTTTCCTTCCTTCCCCATAAAGCCCGTAGAGTTTCTCGGAGGTAACCTTAGGATTTACCACATATTGAGGCTCTAAGATAGTGAGAGAGGTCATTCACAAGGTCAAAAGGCAAAGTGGAAAAGCTTCTTCCAATGGAGACCAAAAAGTACAAGTTTCTGGCAGGAGCAGCCAAAGCCTCAGCCTCTGTGCTTCCTGACTCCTTTATCCCTTGATGGAATGTAGTTGTCTGCCACACTGACGCTGGAGGAGGAGAACTACGATCCCGTTCACTCTAATTAAACTGACCCTGCAATAGGGTGGACTGGAAAGGCACAAGGGAAGCAATCCTCTCAGTATTAAACACCTCTTGGTAAGCATAAATCCAATCTTGGAGAAGCATTTCCTGCCAGGCAAACAAAAGCCTCCCAACACAATTAAACTGTACTCAGTAGAGTTAAAACTGTACCTGGTACAAATGACTTGCAACCATCACTTCACATCCTTTGTCATTTAGAAACTCTAAAGCCAGAAGTTGTGATTGCAAAGATTTTAGGTGACTACTCTCCTAGAAATGTGGAAGAACTGTTTAGATGTTACCAATTTAATGAACATATTTAACCCAGTTCCCACTTTCAGGCAAAAAGACACGTACCACCATGAATGGTACTAGATAAAAAGAGATACTTTGAGTCTTAAATAGCATCCAATTTAGTGGTCAATAAAGTACAAGTAAATCAATGTGTGTGCTTAAGCCACAGAGAATCCTAGACCGCGGTTTTACTGCTTGGATTGAGAAAACCTACAAAAAAAAATGAAACACATAAGCCATACTGCAAAAAAAGGAAATGAGGCACAGAATGCCGCTCCTAAAAGGCATACCTGGATCGGTTGCTGATACGATGGCGCCAAACAACAAGCAGTCAGTGAAGTAGAAGTCACCGCCAAGCTGTCCTGTTACTTTCATCAGGGTTACACAGCCATACATAATTGACCTGCTCGGTAAAAATATTGACAACTCAGACACACACAAACTGCTGCTCAATTAGAGAATTGAGGGGGGAAATCTAGTTGAATATCTTCTAGGTGATCTGGACTCTGAAGACATGTTGTTGCTAGGACATGGAAGCAACGTCCAGTTTTTTGAGAAGCACAAGCGAATGTATAATTTAAAACATTGCATTGCAAACATTTCTAGACATATTCAGAGATACAATGATATAAAAGACATATATGCAGGCAAGCACAAACGTATGTACATGTATGTATATATTACCTATAGACAGATCTTGAAATCCAGGTTTCAAGGTTAAATATCTCAGGCTACAAATACTTACCCTATCACAAAACAAGAAATGGCTGTCCCAAGAAAAGCATATGCTAGGATCGACCCAAGGTTTCGGAAGAAATGTCTCTAAAAAAACAAGGTCTTTGGTTATCCAATTTGCCCAACATTTGTAGGATACATACCAAATGGCTGACAACAAAAACTCAGGATTCGGGTGTTAACATACCACACATTATGAGTGTTAAAAGGGGTAAGTCTGGAAAAGCAACAATTTGAGGGTCCGAACAGGAAAAGGGAACGAAAAGAAAAAGATGAGAAGGGGCTGTAGAAAAGCTAGTCATTAGAGAGATTCCCAAGCACATGTGCACAGTAAAGTCAACTGAATTCAAAAAGCACTTCTTAGTAAGCACCTACTAAGTACCATGCAAGTATAGCAGCACCTACCCGTTTCAGACTGTATCCTGCATAAAATATAATCGGAGGAAGTAGTATATTGAAAAATACTTCGGGATCAAAAGTTACCTGTTTAAAAAGGGGAAAAAAAGGTTTTGAGTTCTTCAAAATGAAAATATTTTGTAAGACCTCACACTAAGCCACTCTGTAAATTATTAGAGTGATAAATTAAAAGCATCTACTACTAAATGGTAAGAATGTCACTACAACTTATTGTATTGCAACTTCCTCATTAAAACAAATAAAATTCAACAGAGAGAAACTAAGGAGCACAACATCGGCTGGTCTCCAACAGAGAAAACTTGAGAAGACATTAAGTTCAAAGGAACACCGTGACAAGCACTCAGTGGATTCTACTTTTATGGATACTTGGTTATTTTACTGACCAAAGGGTAAGAGATGGGAGAAGTCAAGGGAAAGAGGGTGGGTAGGGATGGGGGTGTGGGAAGGAGAAGAGAACAACCCCAGAAAACGTGACATAGAAAAGCTAGGGGCAAGGGGCAAGAGGCCAAGGTGGGAATGGGAAATGGAGGCAGAGGCAAGCAACTTCTGGAGTGTATGTGTGCATGGTGGGGAGGGGAAGAGGGGAGTGGCAAGAGAGACTCAAGTCAGTCCCCAATAGAATCCATACACTCAATACTCTATCATGGGAATAAATGTGGCAGTACATGTGGTGAAATAAGTGCTGGAAAGATGGAATGCACATCCTTTCGTCTCGGTAGAATGTAGTCTACATTTCCAGACGTGATTGCTTTGCCAGTCAGTTGTACTTAACTGTTTTCCTTTGTTCCAAGGGAAGGTTCAATGTTGGAGGGAAGAAATATATCAGGAAATGACTGGTTTAAAGAAAAAAAAAAGGGAGAGAACTGGATTTAAATCCCGATTTTTGGCACTTACTGGCTATGTGATCTTGGGCGAGGCACTCCTTTAACATCTCTGAGCCTCAGTTTCCTCATCTGAAAAATGGGGCTAATATTCGTATACTACCTACCTCATAGGGTTGTTGGGAGGAGAGTTCTTTGACAAAATGTCAAGTGCTACAGCATGAGGAGTTATTATTTTTAAGCACCTTGAAGCACTGCAACAATTGAATCCAAGAAAGATTAAGGCAGGAAATCAGGTTAGAAATATTTAGAACACTGGTCAAAACAGAAAACTTAATGAGTTAGACCTTAATCAGAAAATGAAATTTCCTAAGCATTATAGTTAATTGATATTTTACTGTGTATATTAAAAGAGTCCACTGTGTCTTTTCTAATGTGTTAAAGACATGGGTCATTTTTTCCCTTCTGCATCACGTTGCTGCTAGAATTAAAAAAAAAAATTCCAAAATATACTGACTAGAAGCTTACCTTCCTAAGCATTTCATTATCTTGAACGTTATTGAGTTCATGTGAACTGATCTCTCCTTTCAGTGTATATTCGTAAAATTTTCCACTAACATTCACTAATAAGGTAGCTGGACTTGTCTGCATTTGACAGCTTAATGTCACATTATTAACATCACTCGGAACATGAACGCCATATCGAAGAACCAAGCCCACCAAAAGCCCTGGAATTTAAAAAGAGAGAATGCTGTAAGCTCCTTGTGGGCATCAACCAGTTCCTTAAAGCCCCTAAAAACTTCATTGGTTTTCAACACACACACACACACACACACACACACAATCAATGTTAGCCAAGCCTGAGCTTCTTAGAGTCAGTACTCAGACTGAAATAAAAACATGTTTGAAATTACTGCTCAATTCCTAAGTGGGAGAACCTGACATCCTCATAAGCAGGGGATGGACAGATGGGTAATTTTCCCCAGTGTAATATCACAGATCACTAACCCCAATATTTCTAGAGCAGCATATAAGTAATAGAGCAGGAAGATTACCTAATGAGAAAATATCTTACAAATCATCTTTTCATAGAATCCACTGCATGACTTTCCCATTTCATAGCGCAATCATATTAAAAATTAGTTTTCCACCTCCACCCATGATTCATTTGACAGGTCCCCCCTTCCTATACTTGTACATTTGTGGGGTTTTTTTTTCAGCCAAAATGTAGGAATTGACATTTATCCCTCTTAAATTTCATCCTGTTGGTTTCAGTTCATTGTTCCAGTCTGCAGAAGGAGAAATCAAGATTCAGATGCCCATGATGAGACATCTTATCACTCTGACATCAATCACAACCAAAGCAGATTACATTTTCTAGTCTTTAAAACACACACACACACACACACACACACACACACACACACACACAAAATCCCTTGATCTGCTCATTTCTTTTAAGGCTGCTGGATTAGACCTCACAGTCTCACAAGACATAGAGAACAGTCAGAAAAAGAGGCACAATTCCTTATCTTTGTTGCCCTTTGAACAATCTTTAATGAATCATACTAAGTGACCCTTAGGTTGCCTGAAGCTTAAGACAAAGGGGAATGTTCCTCCCCTGCCTTCAATCCTTTATATTACTATTTATAAGCAAACTGACATTCCTTATCATAGTGGAAGATCAACTTAAGGCTTAACTTAGCTTAACAATTTTTGGCTGTGACAATGCTAAATTCTTTAAGAAAGCTCACTAGTTGAACAAAATACTCAAATGCTTAGATTTCTAGGGTGTAATATGGACAATCAACCAACCATATTTGTTGATATAAACTCTAGTTTTCAAAAAAAAATACCCTTACTTTTTCAAGAGAAAAGCAAAGAGTTAAAGGGTCCCCCCCTTAAATAGTATTTCTAGAATTCAAACAGAAAAACTGACTCAAAGCTAGGGAGAAAAAAATCAGTGGGTTCAATCTTAAAGGTTTGAGGGTAGGCATGAAGAGAATAAAAGTGTCAGTAGTTAAGATGGTATGAGAGGCGAAAGAAAAAACTGGGAAAGATACTCAATTGGATTAAAAGAAAAATCCAAACCAAGCATCCTGTGTGCTGCAACCTCTCCTCCAGGCTCACACTAACCCTCTGAGACTGAGAAGTAGACAAATATCACTAATCTGCATTTTACATACTGAGAAACCTTGAGAGGTTAGAGAGTAATCAAAGAAAAACAACTGTCAAGGGGGAATAGTCAGTGGAAAGTCCTACCACATTTGGATGGTCTCCTGTCCCTAGCCCAGACTGGAAAATGACCCCTATCTTTTAAGGCCCAGACTAGGTGGCACTTCAGGGAGCCTTTCCTGAACCTGCCAGCAGGAGCTTCCCCCTCACAGTTCTCCCATGGCACTCTGGTCTTCTCCAATGCACTTGAGTACCAATTAGGATGCTCTTTTTTACCTGCCTTCCATCCCCCTAAACTTCAAAAGGGTAAAAACCCAGCCCTATTCCTTCTTTCTCTCCCCCAGCTTTGTGTAATGCTTGTTGATGAAAATTGAATTAGTGTTCTTACATTAGGCAACACAAGAAGAAAAACGCCCCCTCCCAAAACAGAGAGAGGAATAGAAGTCCCTTCCTTGCTTCTTACTGATTTTATGTCCTCAGCAAATGCAATAATTAATTCTTTCAACAGAAATTCTCTAGTTCTGTGAGCTTAACCATTTATACATTTAGCAAAGATTAACAGTGACCCATCTGGTTTTTTTTCTTTTTAATGCAACATTTTAAAACGATCAGAGAACGATTTTATGCTTCCAACATACAACTGAGCATTTATAGCATTCCTTCCAGCCTAACCTAGGAAAATCCAGTCTTCCTAGGAAGGAAGAATTTTGCATTTGGCATATAAAGCCTTATGTCACTGATTTTTTTGTGTGTGTCTTCATTCTGTCCTGTTAACTGGACTATAGACTGCCTTACAGTTTTTGGTTATTTCCTGTGTCTAGCACACGGTAGGTACCCAAACAAATGTTAATAATGATACAGAAGATTGAGCTATTATAGCATGATGTATAAATCCAGATATCTACATCATTTACTTGGATAAAAAGATTAAAAGTGAAAAGATACAAAATATGCAACATCTAATTTTATCCAAAAGCTAGGGAACATGGTAAAGAGAGACTTAAAAAGATCATAGACCCCCCCCCCCCAATTTCTAATGCTTTATAACGTGACATTCACAGATCAGATACTGAAGTGGGGTCCTGCCCTCAAGAGTCTTTATAAAGGAAAAGAGATGCGAAAGTTAACCAAGTTTCCAATCTAGGAAAATCATTACCTTACAAGTGAAAATGACTTGGTGTGTGTGTATTTTTCTGAAACTCACAGAGAACTACCTTTTCTTATCCTCCTTGAGATACACACTCAGAGGTAAACATTTCATGAATGGAGTGGCTCTTTGGGAGCCAAAGTCTTCAACTGACTTCGAGTCTGAGGCAAAGGGGCAAACATTAGCGGGCTCCCTGCCACAGCCACAAGTGAGGAAAAAAAAAACAATCTCACCTGTATACTGGGCAGAAGGGATTATTTGTCCACAAGAATCTCTTCAGACATAAACAAAGACACATATATGCAGTGATCACTCAGTGGAGTCTTCTTTGATTAAGACAGTCAACAATACCTCTCTAGAGGCCCCAGTTTAGGAATGAGATGGATCTATTTCTCCCAAGGGGGCCATTTGCTATTACTTCCCTCCTTACCCGTTAACCAAAAAGAAAACAGAAACGAAAAAAAGACAGACTAAAAAGCCACTGAAACCACTCGTTAAGGGTTAATAATCTCATGACTGCAGATGTGTAGTGTTTATAATTAGTTTTAGATTAACCATCTTGATCACTATGTAGTAACAACCGTCCTGGGAAAACTTTTAACTCTTTCGTTAGCTGATCTGGGACAACCTGAACCTCGGGCGTGGGATTCTAACAAATTCATACGAGAATGCAGCCAACAGGTTGTTAAGGAGATATAGCTAATTGTTACGGATCTACAGATCGGTTCCCCAAGGTCCCGCAGCTTTAAGTTTGACCACGCCAGGAGAGATAAAAGATGTGCCCTTCGTCCGCCGCGAGGGCAGAGAGCCGAGCGGGTGCGAGAAGACAAGTAGAGGTCGAATCAGTTTTCCGGAGAACACCAAAAACTGACAAGGGAACTCCTCCATCCCAGATCTCCACACAGGCAGGGAACCCCGACTCAATTTCAAAGAGGCTACGAGAGAGATGCGTCTCCCCACCCCACCCTCCCCCCTTACCCGGTTGGGCAGCCCTCCTCCCCGGGGTCTCCAAGAAGCCGCGGTCCTAGGACGGTCCCGGGCCGAGGGATGAGTCCCCTTTCCCAATGGGAAGCGAGGCAGGAAAGGGAGAGCAAAGGGCAGGATGGGGGGCAAAAGGGAGGCACTTGCCGTAGATCATGGCCAGGCCAGTCTCGTGCAGGAAACGGGCCCGTCGGTGCTTGAAGAGCCATATGGTGAGGATAGTGAGGGTGAGGAGCAAGATGAAGATGAGCAGGTTGGCGCTGTCTTGCCGGTGGCTCGCCTCCGCCTGCTTCTCGGACACGATCTCCTCCTCCATGGCCCCTACAGCTCCGGCTCCGCCACCGTCCTGGGCACCCGCCCAGCCACAAGCGCCAACCGCCAACAACAGCCAGAGAAGCCGCCCGCGCGCGGGGCTGCGGGAGCCCGAGCTGCCGCTGCCGCGCACGGGAACCCTCCGCCAGGCGCTCAGTGCCATGGTTCCCCCAGCCCCAATGCCACCGCATCCGCCCCCCGAACCAGATACCGTTTGTTGTCCCCGGCCACTCCCGAGGGCTCATGGGAAGAGGGGCGGAGACTCGGCAGAATCGGCCCAGTACAGGCTGGCCGAGCGACCGCCCACTCCTCGCGGCCAGAGTTCTTAAAGGGACCGCCATCGCATCGGCCCCCTACAGCCTTGAGTGGGAGGAAGGTCATGTAATCCAGCCCCCTGCCTCTGGGAAGGGCCCCATCTCGCCTATAGGCTCCATGCCCTATACTCCATGGATCTTAAGCACCCATTGTTTGGGTACCAGCCAAGCAAGAGCCACACTGATATCATTTCCCGTACAGACCCCATATACATGGGTTCTGGTTCTGGCCCTGCCTCCAACATTCCATTTGACCTTGGGCAAGTCCCTTCCCATCTCTGGATCTCAATTCCTTTCTCCGTAAAATGAGGACAAACAGGAAGATGATAGTGTCAGAGCTTAGAGGTCATCTAGTCCAACTGCCTCATTTTACAAAGGGGGAAACTGAGACCTAGAGAAGGAATATTACTTGCTCAAGGTCACACATTAAGTAAATGAAAAAGTACCGTTACAACACATGCCCACTAACTCCACAACCCTAAGATCCCTTCTAGCTATTATATCCAATTAATATTAAAAATATTCCACCCTCCCCCATGGAAATTCATAAATATACTTCCCTTCATTCAAAGAATTATGTCGGAGAGCTCAAGATCAATTTCATGAACCCTTCTAACAAGGAGAGCTGTCTTGGAGTAATAATAATAGCTAACACAGGATCTTAGGATCTGGTAGAAGGTACCTTAGAGACCATTGAGTCCAATGTCCTCATTTTACAGATGAGGCAACTGAGGTACAGGAAGAAATTAAATGACCTGCCCAGTGTCACAGAGCTAATGAATATCTGAACATAGTTATTCCAGATTCCATGTCCACTGCCCTATTCACCATCCCACACTGCCCCCTCAACATCATATAGTGCTTTAAATATATTATCTCATTTGATTGGAAGATAGTGGATTGACCCTAAGGGGAGGTCTTTGCGAAGAAATGCAATAAGCAATTATTGGTGGATTCTCGTGCAGGCCCAGGTTGGACTAGATGGTCTCTTTTTTTTTTTCTTTTTGCCTTTTTGGTGAGGCATTTGGGGTTAAGTGACTTGCCTAGGGTCACACAGCTAGCAGGTATCATGTGTCTGAGGCAGAATTTGAACTCAAGTCCTCCTGACTCCAAGGCCAGAGCTTATCCACTGTGCCACCTAGCTACCCCAGATGGTCTCTCGAAGTCCCTTTCAAACTCTGAGATTCTCTGATTTGCTCAAGGTCCCACTGATAGTAAGTGGCAGAACCAGGATTTAGAAAAGGTATTCAAGTTCTACATTCAGATCCTCTTTCCACTATATATAGAGCTCTCCACTAAAGGAGAAGAGACAGCTAGGTGGTGCTGCAGTGGATAGAAGGCAAGGCCTGGAGGCAGGAGCACTCATCTTTGTGAATTCAAATCCAGCTTCAGACATTTAGCAGTGGTATGACCCTGGGTGAGTCACTTAACCTTGTTTGCCTCGGTTTCCTCATCTGTAAAATGAGCTGCAGAAGGAAATGGCAAACCACTCCAGTATCTCTGCCAAGAAAACCCCTAATGGCATCACAAAGGGTTAAACATGACTGAAATGATTACAGCAATAATGAACATAGTTGTAAGACCTTCTACAACAGCCAAAGGAGTAAGCTGAAATGGCAGTTTGAGGCCAGGAGTTAGAAACCAACTAAAAGATTACAACTGAGATAGCAAGTGCCTAGAAGAACTACAAAACAATTCAGACAGAGAGAGTACTGGAACAGACCAAAAACAAGGAGGTTCCTTCGAAATGTAGTCCAAGGTCTCTAGAAGAGAAGTAAGCTGGGAATGTAGTCAACCAGACAACTGGAAGTTCGAATGAGAACTAATTCAGAGAGGAAAGAGCTTTCAACTGTAAGCATAGGCAGCTGGGGAGCAGCTAGGTAGGATGGAACAATAGGCCTAGAGTCAGGAAGACTTTAAGTCCAAATCCAGCCTCAGATACTCCCTAGCTATGAGACCTTAAGCAAGTCACGTAAATGCTGCCTGCTTCAGTTTCCCCAACTGTAAAACGGAATCAAATGGGATAATATATGTAAAGAGCTTTGCAAATCTTAAAGCTCTATATAACTTAGCAAGTGCTTACTATGTGCAAAGCACTGGGCTAAGCCCTGGGCATGCAAAGAGAAAAGTAAGCTAGTCCTTGCTCTCAGGAGCTCACAGTCGGATGGAGGGAAACAACTCAGATTCAGCTGCAAGTCAGATGAAAAAGTCCCGTGGTCCTTAGGGTGCAACAGCAATGCGGATGGTAATACTTCTCTAACGTCATTTCCACTGATAAAATATCAGTTTCTGATGTTGAACCATTTGACAGGGCCAAGGACTTCGGAGGCAAGAATATTCCCTTCTAGGCCTTCAATAGCTTTGTCTGTTATGTAGTCATTGCAGGGGCAGTGGCCAGGCTGCATTTCACCAGGATTGCTCCCAAGGATGGTAGCTGAGGGCACTGAGCTAGAAGCATTGCTATTCCAAAGGCTCTTGGGTTCTGGGTCCTATGATGGCCCTATCAGGGGATGAGGGGAGATGGTAGTCAAGGTGGGAGTGGTGGGTTTGACCTTCCTGGCACTTGCTGCCTCCTGTCTCTCCCTCAGGGAGCCAGGCTGCTACAGCTAGATTGACCTCCCTGCCCTGTGTAGGGCAGTTCCTTGGCAGTTAGAGTGGATGACTGGTCCCTTCTCTGTAGAACGTTGCTTCCCAGGATAATTGTTGAGGTGCTGGGCTGGAAGCAAGAATGGGGGGGGGGGTGGTGATGCTACTCCCAGTGCTCTTAAGCCTTCTGTTGGTAAAGAGGAAGGTGGGCCCCCTCTCTACAACAATTTCTCCCTTCAATAGTGGCTGTGGGGGCTGGGTTGGAAGCAGGTCTGATGGTTTGGAGAGCATTGCCATTTCCAAGGCTCTTAGGCCCAGGATCCTAGGCTGTCTCCATTAGGTGGTCAAAGTGATGGTAGGTAGTTTGACTTGCCTGGCATATGCTGTCTCCTTTTTCTCCATCAGGGTGCCTGGCCATTGTTATTATTTTTTAGAATTATCATCATGTAGCCAGGAGAAGGATCAGACCCTACCTGAGTTCATGGCTAGGGGATAGAGAAAACTCACCTGGGGGAAGGAACAGTAGGAACAAGGGTATAGGCCAGAGGATTCCCAAAATCAGAAGTAAGGATTGAGAAAATGAATTCCTGAAGAAATTCAGCAAAATAAATGCACTGGCTTGAGAGTGAGAACTGGGAAAACTTCCAGAAATTAACTCTGAGAGAAAAATTAGAAGTAGGGAGTCAGAAATACAATTCCTGGGGCAGCTAGGTGGCGCAGTGGATAAAGTACGGGCCCTGGAGTCAGGAAGACCTAAGTTCAAATATGACCTCAGACACATAATACTTCCTAGCTGTGTGATCCTGGGCAAGTCACAAATCCCAACTGCCTCACTAAAAAAACAAAAACAAACAAAAAAACCCCAGAAATACAGTTCCTGATGACTGATGATGAAATATGTTCCCCACCTCCTGACAGAGAGGTGATGGACTCAGGGTGCAGAATGAGACATATTTTTTTGGACGTGGCCAATTTCAGAATTTGTTTTGCTTGACTATCCATGTTTGTACCAGGGGTTTTGGTATTTCTTGCATTCTCAGCTGGGGTTGGGGAGAGGTGGGAGAGAATGCAGACCTGAAAAGACAATGAAACGGAATTAAAAAAAAAAAGTCGGGGCACAGTTAGAGAGAAGGTAGTATTTAATAATATATTTCTTGGTTCCAGTGAGCATGTAGGAAAGGAAATGTAAGGCCTCTGGCACATGATAGCTCTTCAAATACTTGAAGTCAGCTTTCATTTGGCATTGTTATTATTATAATAAAGGACTAGACAGGGGCACACCAAGGGAGCTAAGTCTCCCCAGAATGAGAGGACAGTGTAGACCCTGTCAGGAGACTGTACTTCTATTCTGGGCTGGGCCTTACTCAGGCTAGTGTTCTGGCAATCTAGGTTTGATATTGGAACAGAATGAGACACTTGGATGTTGTTCAGCAGTTAACAAAAGATTTACTTAGCCCTAGTAGAAGACACCACGTGGACTCAGCTGAGCTAAGTTCCTTTGCCTGGGTTGCCCATTATTTTGCCCCAGCCAAGCATCAGAGCACACTTGAAGCGACTCTGGTTGTTTTTGTTCAGGTGACCAGAAAGTGATGTCACCATGCTCGGCCTTTAGTCCCCGAGTCAATCAATCAAGTGTCAAGGATGAGTTCAATACTTTTTTTTCCTTTTTCTTTTGTTTTTTGGTGAGGCAATAGGGGTTAAGTGACTTGCCCAAGGTCACACAGCTAGTAAATGTCAAGTGTTTGGTCTGAGGCTGGATTTGAACTCAGGTCCTCCTGACTTCAGGGCTGGTGCTTTATCCACTGCGCCACCTAGGTGCCCCGAGTTCAATACTTTTTAAGGAAAAATGAGTCTAACTTCCATAGAGGCAGGGTTAGATATTTCTTCCACCACAACTTTCCATAATCTATTCACTTTAACAAAACAGATTGTAACCCATCCATATCTGTCCATCCTGTGAGACTCTTGTCCTGTCCTCTTGTACGTTTGCATGGATCCATCATGCTGAGGGCCTTCCTTCAGTTCTCCTGACATCATGAAGGTACCAGTGGAACTCTCGGGCTATAAGTTATTTCTCCCTCTTGCCACACGGCCAGCCCATCTTCCTTTAAAACCATACATTTCTTTGAAGATATCCTTTACACTACTTTTTCTGCCTAATTCTTTGTAA